TGGATTTGCCAGAGTTCATCATAAATCTCTCAGCATCATTCAGCTACCTAGTAATCTGTCAACTGTTTTCCCAGCAAATGTGTGACATACAGTAGGAACATTTAGGTGAATGTGTAGAAAACGATTACACACTGCTCAAAAAATTAAAGGAACACTTTTTAATCAGAGTATAGCATCAAGTCAGTTAAATTCCTGGGATATTGTTCTGGTCAGTTAAGTAGCTGAGGGGGTTGTTAATCTGTTTCAGCTGCATTAATGTTAATGAAATTATCAACAGGTGCACTAGATGAGCAACAATGAGATGACCCCCAAAACAAGAACGGTTTTACAGGTGGAGGCCACAGATATATTTTCCCTACTCATCTTTTCTCTTTTTCACTAGTTTTGCATTTGGCTAGGATCAGTGTCACTACTGGTAGCATGAGGCAATACCTGGACCATGCAGAGGTTGCACAGGCAGTCCAACTCCTCCAGGATGGCACATCAATACATGCCATTGCCAGGTTTGCTGTGTCTCCCAGCACAGTATCAAGAGCATGGAGGAGATTCAAGGAGACAGGCAGTTACTCTAGGGGAGCTGGACAGGGCCGTAGAAGGTCCTTAACCCATTTGCAGGACCGGTATCTGCTCCTTTGTGCAAGGAGGAACAGGATAACGACTGCCAGAGCCCTACAAAATGACCTTCAGCAGGCCACTAGTGTGAATGTATCTGACCAATCAGAAAAAGAGTCCATGAGGGTGGCCTGAGGGCCCAATGTCCTCTAGTGGGCCCTGTGCTCACTGCCCAGCACCATAGAGCTCGACTGGCATTTGCCTTTGAACACCAGAATTGGCAGGTCCACCACTAGCACCGTTCTTTTCACAGATGAGAGCAGGTTCACCCTGAGCACATGTGACAGATGTGAAAGAGTCTGGAGAAGCCGTGGAGAACGTTATGCTACCTGTAACATCGTTCAGCATGACCGTTTTGGTGGTGGGCCAGTAATGGACTGGGGAGGCATATCCATGGAGGGATGCACAGACCTCTACAGTCTAGACAATGGCACCTGGCTGCCATTAGGTATCGGGATGAAATCCTTGAACCCATAGTCAGACCCTATGCTGGTGCAGTGTGTCCTGGGTTCCTCCTGGTGCATGACAATACCCGTGCTCATGTAGCGAGAGTATGCAGGAAGTTCCTGGAGGATGAAGAAATTGATACCACTGAACGGCCCCCACACTCACCTGACCTAAATCCAATAGAACACCTCTGAGATATCATGTTTCGGTCCTTCCGCCGCCACCAGGTTGCACCTCAGACTGTCTAGGAGCTCAGTGATGCACTGGTCCAGATCTAGGAGGAAATACCCCAGGACACTATCCATTGTCTCATTAGGAGCATGTCCCAACATTGTTAGGCATGCATACAAGCACATGGGGGCCATACAAACTACCGAGTACCATTTTGAGTTGTTGCAAAGAAATTTCAGCAAAATAGAGTAGCCTGCTGCATCATTTTTTCACTTTGATTTTTGAGGTGTCTTTTAATTCAGTCCTAAGTAGGTTGATAATTTTCATTTCCATCAAACAGTGGGGCATCCTTACATTCCTAACACATTACCCAGTCCATATCAGTATAGATATCCAGCATATTTTTCCCCATTGGGATCTGATGTGTTTTCAAAGTGTTCCTTTAGTTTTGTTTGAGCAGTGTATACAGCACAGTATGTTGAAGGCACAGATTTAGCACACAGCCTAGCTATTGGCTTGAAGATTGCAGATAAAACCACCAATTCATCAAGTCTAGTAAATCTAGGACCTACATTGATTATAGTAAACTTTCAACATATTTTTCCACTTTAGATGCTCTTTAGTAGGGAAGCTACTTAACATTGTAGAATACCAGCAAATTACACTTGATTCAGACAATATGCTCCTAACACAGTAGGGGTGTTTTTCCTATGTAATTTTGTTAAAACATATCTAACGCTGGTGGTCACAATCCCCAAAAATTATATATAGCTAAAAATAGTTAGAACTTAAAGAGTTGCTGGAATCCTCCTTATCCTTAGATATAGAAGCACAGTAATTACTGAATTCTGCGGTCACCCTGTTGACGCCCAGCCTTTGTCATGGCTTGGGATTCTAAATTCAAGCCACAACAACGTGACACTTTACCACTTTGTTTTCTGCTGTGCTTGTACAACCCCATTTCCAAAAAAGTAAGGACGCGGTGTACACTCGACATAAAAACAGAATGCAATGATTTGCAGATCTCATAACCAATATTTTATTTACAATAGAAAAACACTTTTCTTTTACTATTCTGTAATTATCTAAAAACTTAAAAATGTTATTTGTAAAAAAAAGAAAATAGAAAACGTATCAAATGTTTAAACTGAGAAAATGTACCAATTTAAATAAAAAATAATTGATGACATCGTCTCAAAAAAAAAATGGGGATAGGGCCATCTTTACCACGGTGTAGCATCCCCTCTTCTTTTAACACTCTGTAAAATTATTTCTAGGTGCAGCTTTTCAAGATTGATAAACCTTCACCCATCTTTACTCCCTTCTGAGACACTCTGACTCTCTAAGATGCTCTTTTTATACCCAATCATGTTAATGACCTGTTGCCTCTTTTGTCATCCCCAAATCTTATTATTTACCATTTATTTAGCTATCCCAAGTACTAGCTAAAACACATTAGAGCTCGACTTTGGGAATTACAAAACTATCACAAGGACTATTGGCTCTGCATTGTACATAATGACACCACCGTGCAACTGCAGCCCAGAATATCTTTTAGAAGAGCCTTTGGAGAACCTGTTGCTTAGATGGAGGGAGCCTGCTGAAAAGAGGAATCAATTATCAAACCCTATTCTTTGGCTCTTAGAGCTAACAAGCACTTAACTCTTGCAGTGCATGGGGGAGTGGGGGAGAAGCGCTGCAAGGGTAATTTTTTTTTTTTTTAATAAAATAATTTCAAAGTGTACCTAAAGGCAAAACAATTTTCGGATTGGTTGGAGAGGAATTAGAAGCATTGTCAGGTTTTTATTGCTAATTGCATGTCCCAGCTGGTAAGATTCACCTTATTTGCCCTGTTCACTATTTTCACTGGAACAGAAAATGAGGGTAAATTTTGACTTGTCACCAAAACAGTAATAGAAATTTATTTTCTGATGAATCTCTTCTAACAGGAATTATCAATCTATAGTTAACATTACTTTTAATCGATATACCACAAAAAGGGGGCAGTGGATTTCGATTGGTAGTTAAGATCATAAATTACTGATCACATCTGTTTCCACCATGCAAAATCATAATCAGCTATGAATGCGATTGTATTTTAGTCAAAGTGTCTCGGTGCTGCCAACTGATAACCCAGTTTTCTACCCTGGCTGATTGGCTAAAATATGTGGCGTGTGTGGCCCCCATAAGAAGGGATTTCCCTCAGAATTTTTAATACTTTCTGCTTTGTTTACGGGACAGGAAGTACAATCTTTCAAATGGAAAAAAAATAAACAAAAAAAAAAAACCTTGACATTGGTTTTAGCCATTCTCCACCCCAAAAACTGAATTTAGATGCACTGTAATAAAACCAAATTCATGTATAAAAAGGTAAAACCACTTTTTATTAACATATTTCATAAAAATAATTAACTATATTAGGCGATTTTTTTTTTATGACTGGTTAAATTGTGTGCTGCCAGCATAACAATTTGATGGATTTTAAACTGCTTTAGGATAATGAAGAAAAAATAAAATAAAATAACTAAACACATTTATTGAAAAATTTATTTAATGCATTGCACTATTCTAAACTCGGCATATATCATTTTATTAGTGCTTGATGGCTATGGTTTACTTTTCTCAAAATTCTTAATTACATTGTTCAATAGAGAAGTATAATCTCCCAGCAATCAATTATCTTCTTGAGTACAAAATTAAAGCAATTATATCCAAAATTTCAGTATTACACACAGAAGTAGCCTGTCTGATAAGGCAAAGAGCAGCTGAAGACCAGCAATCCACAGCAAGCAATCCTGACATCAGTAAAGTGAAGCCTTTCTATAAGGGTAACTGCTCTTTCCGCTTCCTTTCCACAAAAGGTACTAACATCAACGTGTACATGTGTGGACTATGAGGCTACAGTAATTTTGTGGATGTATGTACAATGGGTGGATGCAGAAAAGGACATGCCCCATAGCTTGCATGGGGTCAGTGCTCTGACCCTCCTATAGGGGAAAATCTGGCGTTTCCAGGCGTAGTTCTTGTGCCTTTTGAAGTCTCCCCTATTGCAAGAGCCAGCAGAAGACTGATGTGCAGAAGGAAAGACATCGCAGTGAACGTAGTACAATGATGTCCAGTTGTAGAAAAATGCAGGATTCAGGTGCTGTACAGTCCAGGCTGGGGCCACAGGTCATGTGCTTCCAATAGCAACCAGTCAAATCAGAAGCCTCCAAACAGCTTTCATTATTCTGACAATACAAAGCTGGTAAAAGTTGACATGCTATGGCACTGCAACACACAGGATATTACAACTAATTTCCAATGAGTCTAGGTGGAGAAACAGGTTGACAATAACGGAAGATTCAAAAATATATTAAAGGCATATTTAAAAATAACTTTTGTTAACAGGTGCTTAAAGTATAGCTAGATTTGAATAGAGTGGAGAGGGGGTTAGAACTCTGTCAGTTTTATTGCGGTCTGTGATTTTTAATTGTCCTGATCACTAAAGCGATCAAGAATAAAAGAGAAGGTATATCCAAAATTGAGTTGCCACCAGGAAAGGAACAAAGAATCTTCTGCAATGGGGACACCTATTCCAATGACAACTAAGAGAAATTTCCCCTACACTTGAAAAGATAGCCTCTCAGTTCCAAGAGAGGAAGAAGTGAAGGGAAATCACTGAGGAAAATTGACAGTGGCTTTAATCATCCCCTGCTGATTCTAAATCTTTATTACCTATTATTATATATATCTCAAAAGTTAATATATTGCTTCATATTTGGCATATTTCAAGAGTTCTTGCCCATATCCATTGCTTGCCGTACATCCGCTACAGATTCTGGGACTTTTACAGTCATTCCATTCATGAATGGCTGGAGGCAAATTTGGCAACCCAGTCGTGACCTGGAAAAGGGGATGAAAAAAAGGGGGGTTATTGTTTACTGAATGTGGGTTAAAAAAAAAAAAAAAAAAAAACACACCAAGTTGGATGATACAAGTTAGTTTATACACTTCATAGTTTTCTCAGGGAATCTGGCATTTAAGATCTCTGCACCTGAGCTCTTAGCTCTACCTACCCGCCATTTTCTTCTTTCTTTCTAAGAAGACAATGCATGATTCAGGCAACCAGCATCTACCCAGATCAAAATATCTATCCAGCTGCAGACCCCTTCCCATAGTGTAAGCAGTGTATGTAGGAATATACCAGCAAATTCTCAGATTGGCAGGCAGTCCTTAAGGAAATGGCACTGGCAGTGGCTGTAGTAGGACTCAAGGGATGAAGAACAAAAACGTCTTAGGAAGACACCTCCATCAACTTCTATACTCATGTTTGGGCCTGTCGGCACTGTTGCCAAACTGTGGTACCACTAGCCAAGATCTGTTCAATCTAATGTAAGGGCTGCAGCTCTAGTTTTCTTATGAAGACAGTTCCTGTGTCTTCGGTCTTGTGCCTGCGGCTTTTGGAGCTGCCATCAAACTGACGCAACGGGGCCATTTTTACCCATATCTGTAACCTCCCTGTGAATCACAGTACTGTGCAAAAGTTTAAGGCAGATGTGAAGAAATGCTGTAAAATGAAGAATGCTTTAAAAACATACATATTGTTTTTATCAATTTACAAAATGTAAATTGAGCAAACAGAAGAAAAATCTAAATTAAATTCAATATTTGGTGTGACCACCCTTTGGTTTCAAACCAGCATCAATTCTTAAGCCGGCCATACATGGGTCGAATTCCAAAAGAAGTTTCTTTCGAAAATCGTTTGAGAATTTTCATTCGAATTTCGCACCATTAGTGGGCTGCAGCAACAGCCGATTATCAAGCGACTATCGAATTTGAGTGATTGGGCATGTTGGAAATTTTTTGAAAAACGAACAAATTTCTAATTAATGATGGAAGAATCGCATGAGAAATGTAACTGAAAAAGAAACCAGCATGAGCTGTGACCTGGAAAGAAAAGAAAATTCTTGGCCACGAAAATTCTTTTCTGTAGCAACATAAGGTGAAATAAAAGGCTTGGTTGGTCAAATTTCAAAATCAATGGTGGCATCATCGGATTACAAAATGCACAAAATTTCCGATTTTCTAAAGAAAATTTGTTTGGAATTTGACCCATGTATGGCCTGCATTACACTTGAATTGCACAGGAATTTTTGTAGAATTAGAGTCAGGTGTATGATTAACCAATTATACCATGCTGGTGTTACTGATAATTCATTTCATTTTTAGGTAGAAACTGTCATTAACCACTTCCTGTCCGGACACTTTTACCCCCTTCCTGTCCAGGCCAATTTTCAGCTTTCAGCGCTGTCACACTTTGAATGAAAATTGCACGGTCATGCAACACTGTACCCATATGAATTTTTTAGCATTTGTTTTTAGACAGATAAAACTTTATTTTGGTGGTATTTATTCACCACTGGGATTTAAATTGTTTTTGCTATATAAATGAAAATGTCCCAAAATTTTGAAAAAAAAGTGTTTTTCTTTTAAACCTTTGCAAATAAATAATCTTTCTTCATAAATCTTGGCCAACATTTCAGTTATCTTTTTAGTAAAAAAAAACAAAAAAAAAAAACAAAACCAAATTAGTTTATAAACAAAAATTAAATTTTAAAAAATGTGTTTTTTTAATTTTTATATTACGGTTTTGTTTTTGTTTTTTTGTCACCCTAGCAGTACAGTGTCACCATGGTGACACTGTACTACTTGTGGGAGGTTATGAAGTTTTTTTTTTTTTTTTTACACTGATTGCTTTTACACCTATAAAGGCTATAAAAGCAATAATTTCTCCTCCTCTCTGGCTGCATTCTTGCAGCCATTGAGAAATACTATGAGCTCTGATTGGTCACAGCTTGTCACATGGTACAAGGCTGTTGTGAATAGCCTTGTACCATGTGACCTCGGTGATCATTCACAGAGTTCACACGTAGTAAGCAATGATGTCAAAAGTGACATCTTGCTTACTACTCTTCATGTGATCACTGATTGGCCAATCAGTGATCACATGATCGGGACCTCACACAGAGGTCCTGTACAACGATCGGCGTTCCACTGTGCCCAGGGAGCGTGCACAAGCTGGGGGCGGGGAGGCTGTTTATAAATGGCAACCTGCCCCTGCACTGCCACCGTCCGGCCGTTTATATACAACGGCCGGACGGGAAGTGGTTAACTGAAACTGATGCTGTTTTGAAGGCAAAGTGTGGTCACACTAAATATTGATTTGATTTGCATTTCTCTTCTGTTCATTTACTTTCCATTTTGTTAACTGATCAAAATAAAAAATGAATACCACTTATATTTCAGAAGGCACTTTTACAGCATTTTTTCACACCTGCCTAAAAAAAGTTTGAACAGTGGTGTATATCGGCATATTTAGGTCTGTTGGTGATTCATGCAAATAAATTTTGTTAAATGACGAAAAAAAAAAAAAAATTCTGACATTAGAAAAGTATTTACATGCTACTATTTCTGCTGGTCAAAGCAGGCCCAGTAATGATTAAGGTGGGAAAAAAAACAAATACAAAACTAACAAAAAAAACACACAACCTGTTGCTACAATTATTGTTCCACCATTAGTGGTACTACCGGCTGTCAAAATGACAGCAGATACTTGTCCTTCATCACACAGCAGAAGATGAAATGCAGCTGCTCCTGCGTAACAGGACTCCTGCAGGTTGTTACCCAGTGATTCTTGTAGAGTAGGTATAACCTTGTATTTATTCATTCATATTTCATTTTTTATTGTATTTATTTATTCATTTATTTCATTCATTCATATGTAGATCAAAGGAGTGACCTTTGATCTGCATATGACATCAGTTAAAACAACCTTTCAAGATGGCAAAAAGCATGTTACTGGCAGGCTCGCCAGATGAAAATAAAGGGAAAAAAAAAACGATAAGCAGTCACTATATAGAATTTTTGTTTTTGGTCTTAGTTGCTATGTACGGTTTTCATTTTAACCAGAATTTCCATCTCAAGTTAGGGATGCAAATAGACAACATTACATTTCAGTGAGTCCATAGGCAAGATCCAACATGTCCATTTCTTCATCGGTGACTGGTTCTAGCTTCTGGAATATGTGATCCTCAAAGATGAGGTGACAAGTAGAGCAGGCCAATGTCCCCTCACAGGCACCTGTTGGAAATATTTTAGTTATTCAACAGGGTGCCAATACAGCTAGAATATAAGAGAATACATCCAAATGCAAAACCATATTCTTAGGCAGACATGATGAAACTCTAAGAATTAAAAGCTTCCCTTGTATATATTTTTGTTGAAAATGCATTTGAGAGACTTATAATAGCATGTCATACACAATTATTGGCCCTGTAAAGTTCACAAATAATACAGAATGGACCATTAAGCTCCATGTACACGGGACACTTCTGAACGATGGAAACTGACTGCTGGAAAACGTAGATTAAAAAAAACGCAGTTATTTACCTGTTAACTGTATTTCCAGGAATCTTCAAGGACAGCTCCACATGAGAGATCGGCTCCTCCCAGGAAACACCAGTTCCACCTTTATTTTCCTAGAAGTAGCCTCTCTCCTTGGGGGACCCTCAGTACAGGAATATGACTGAAGGCCTAAGAGAAAGCATAGAGAAGAAGAAGTAGAAACAATATATCACTAGTTCATTACATGACGGAACACCAGCCTATAAGTAAACAGTAATCGGGAGGGAGTTACGCTGTCCTAGAAGATTCCTGGAAATACAGTTAACAGGTAAATAACTGCGTTTTCCCTAGTCATCTTCTAGGACAACTCCACATGAGAGGACTGAATAGGAATACTTACATTAGGGCGGAGCCGTTGCTTGCAGGACCTTTCTGCCAAACGCCTTGTCTTTGTTGCTGATCAGGTCCAACCGGTAGTGTCTGGCTAAGGTGCTGAAGCTGGACCACGTTGTGGCTTTGCAGATCTGTCCGGGGAGGCCCCAGCCTTTTCCACACAGGCGGCTGCGGTGGCCCTGGTTGAATGCGCCTTTAAGCCAGGTGGAGGTGCCAGTGACGCAGCTTTGTATCTCTCAGAGATGGCCTCTCTTATCCATTTTGCGATGGTGCCTTTGGAGGCATTGTATCCCTTCCTCGGGCCTTGGAATAGAATGAAGAGACTAGACGAGCGTCTCCATGTTTTCATGCGCTCAATGTACGCAATTAAGCATCTCCTTACATCGATTATGTTGAAGTCACCCTCTTTGGCGTTGCTTGGGTTTCCATCAAAGGATGGTATTACTATTTCTTGTGAACTGTGAAAATGCGACACGACCTTTGGTAGGAATGCCGGATCCGTGCAGAGGATGATTCTGTCCAACAGGACTGTGCAGTACGGTTCTATTACCGATAATATAAACTAAAACAAAGTGAGCGCTACTAATGAAATGGCAAGTAAGCAGCTAGAAGCACTGAAGATGATCACAACCACCTCTGATATAAATAAATAAGTAAAGTGCAGCGCTATATAACACGATATAAAATTCTACAAAATTTGATCTAAAATGTTCGATCAAAAATAAATGTTCATAAAATCCTGCGATCGATCTGTGAATGTGGTGAACACAGCTTATAACGAATCCGGAAAATGACAGAAATGCGCACTCACTGACCGCGCATAGGAAATGCGCATGTGTATATCAAATCTCACAGATGTCGTTATCCTCCGGGAAGAGGTGTCATCAATCGATCTGCTGGGCTTATGGGGCCTCCTTAGGTTTGAGTCAGCCAGGATACGCGTTCCTTCCAGGTACAGGCTTCCCTCCTCTGGGTAGAATATGTAGCTGAATCTGGTGACACCTCCGATTATACCCAGAACACTTCGACACTCACTCATGCAGCCAATAGCAGTACAGCACGGTTTCCCGCCCTCACCGGTCCTGTACAGCCAATGATAGGTTCTATTACCGACAGAGCTTGCAGTTCGCTGACTCTGCAAGCGGAGACCAGTGCTATAAGGAGGGTGGTTTTAAGGGTTAAATGCCTGAGAGAACATTCCTCCAAGGGTTTGAAAGGTTCTGGCTGAAAACTTCTTAGAACTGTGCCCAGGTCCCATATAGGGTACTTTGGCATGGACGGAGCTTGGCGTCTGGAAATAGACCTCAGGAATCTGATTACTAAGGGGTCTTCTGCCAATTTCAGCTCCAGAAAGTTAGACAGAGCTGCTACTTGCACCTTAAGAGTATTGGCGGCCAGGTTCTTGTCTGCCCCGGCTTGAAGGAATTTGAGTACTGTATTTAGGATGGGGGCCCCCGATGACTCATTCCTGCTTCTCCAGAAGGAAAATTTTCTCCAGATTTTGTCATATATGGTGTTTGTCAATTTTTTCCTTCCGTCTAAGATGGTGACAACTACTCTTTCTGATAACCCTTTTCCCGCTAGCCTGTTCCGCTCAGAAGCCAAGCTGTCAGGGATAGCTTTTCCGGGTGTGGGTGTACCACTGCCCCCTGTGCGAGTAAGTCGTGCGCGGGTGGTATCATCCATGGGTCCATTAGGCTCAGTTCCTTCAGCAGGGAGAACCATGATCTTTTGGGCCAGAATGCAGCAATCAGGATGACCCTGGCTTGAAATGCCTGTATCTTCTGTATCACCCTTGGTAGCAATCTGAACGGTGGGAAAGCGTAGACGAGGTCTCCTTCCCATTGTTGGGCTAGCGCGTCTGTCCCTGCGCTCCTGGGGTCCTTTTGCAGGCGGAAGTACTTCTCTAGTTTTGTGTTTTTCCTGTTGGCGAACAGGTCTATGGAGGGAGTACCCCATCTGGTGCAGATTTTGTCAACCGCTGCATGGCTGAGGTACCACTCTGTCTGGATAACTTCTTCCCGGCTCAACTGGTCCGCCAGCTGATTTAGATCCCCTTTCAGATGTAACGCCTTGATGTATTTTAGGTTCCTTTTTGCCCAGCTTAGGAGGATTTCCGCCAGTTCCATCAGTCTCGGGGACCTTGTGCCCCCCTGCCTGTTTACGTATGCGACTGCCGTTGTATTATCAGACAAGATTTGAACCTCTTCCCCTACTATCTTCTTCTGAGAAGCCGTAAGAGCTTTGAAAATTGCCAGTAATTCTTTGAAGTTTGACGACCTCCCTGAGATCTCCGCGTCCCACTTGCCCTGGGTCAGGCAGTCCTCCATATGCGCACCCCATCACCACATACTTGCATCTGTGGTGATTCTTATTGGGTTGACTTGCTTCCACTTCCTTCCTGCTTCCAGTGTGTGGATATTCCCCCACCATCTTAGTGATTCTCTCACTTTGGGCGTGAGGCGGATACTGGAATCTAGGGATGCTTGGCTGCCATCCCAGTGGGAGAGGACGTGGTTCTGCAACGCTCTGGAGTGTAGCTGTGCCCATTGTACCCCCTGGTATGATGGCTGTCATGTGCCCGACAAGCTTCATGGTGTTTCTGACTGTGCAGGTCGCCATCCCCCGGAAGGTCTTCGTATCTTGTTGTAGTTTGAGCGCGTTCTCTGTGGTCAGGTATAAGCAAGTATTTGTGGAATCCAGAATGTATTCCAAATACGCAATCCTCCTGGCAGGGACTAGCTGTGATTTCTCCATGTTTATTAACCATCCTAGGTTTTCTAGGAAGGATATTGTGTGTTCCACGTGGGATTTCAGGCCTCTTTCCGTGTCCGCAAATAAGAGCAGGTTGTCCAGATAGGGGATATTTACCCCCTCTAACCTCAGGGCTTACAGGGGTAACGCTAGGATCTTTGTGAATATTCTTGGAGCCGACAATAGACCAAAGAGCCAAGTGAAGCACTCTGCTTTCTTAGGGATCACTGGTGCAATGTGCTTCTTGCCACCACCATTGATGCTCCTTAAAAACTGTTCATTTCGCAGTGGGTTCACTGGAAAATAAAGTGGTCCGGTATTGTAGTTCTGGTTCCTGAACGATGCTGCACTGGGCAGGAACTGAAAGCACCAGTGAGGACCTGTATCCTCCCTTTGGGGCTCCAGCAGCCAGAACTGAAAGGCTGCAATGCCTAACCTGAATTTTCACGTTTAACTGAATGTACCATCACCCACCACTGGGACTTAAGAGACTGGAAGAACTGGAACCATGCACACACAATAGAAAGCTCAAGCAAACGGAGGAGAGAGACAGTGAGAGCGAGTCAGACACAAAGGCGAAAGTGCCCAAAGCACATGGTGGCCACATTCCTCTCTACAGGAGTATGCTGTAACCAAGAATCTCTAAAGAGAGGCAAGATGACCCAGTTAGTGCAGGCTCTGCTCAAGCACAGAAAAGGGGATAGGGCTCTGGGGAGGTGCTTGGAGGGTCTGAAGGACACCCGGGACTGTTCTGCGCACAACCCCAAGCTGGAGGCACCAGGCAAGGTGACCTCACAATAGGACCCAAGCCATCCCCGTACAGCATCTGAGAAAGCAAAATCTCCACCCACAGATTCTGTGCAGTGCTCCTTCCATGCCAGAGGAAACACTAAATCTGACAAGCTATATGGAGAAGAAGAAATCTTCAGTGTTTCATGTGAATTGTGTGTAGAGAGATGTTCTCTCAGGTGATGTCCTGGAAGACTGTCTGGGAAAATGCACTTGTAACTGCAGTCTGGATGCTGTTCATGGAGATGACACAACCCTGCCATCTAGTGTTGCCACTGCAGAGTTTGCTTCTATATGCAAATGTTTCAAAAATAGCAAAGACAGGTAAGCATTAAAACCACACACACACTCACTCACTCACTGCCGATACACTGTATTCTGACAGCGGCTCCCGCTGCTGGCAGAATATACTGATCACTGGAAACAGCTGCTGATCAACAAATGTTTTCAAGCACATCCCTTTGAACAAGTCAATCAAACGATCCACTTCTGTCAAGCAGAGATGGCCATACGCTGATCAAAATTCGTCTAGTTCCTGATGAACCAGCCAAATTTTATTCAGTTTCTGGCCACTTCGAGGCAACTGCCTCTTTATAGAGATGTAACTGGTGACAGAACAACGTCAATCACAGTGAAACTAAATTCGTTCTACTATATCCCTGAAACAACATGTGGCCCACAGACTGAACCTGCCATCTCTCATAAGAGGCTTTGGAGGACAAAGGCTTTGCAGCACACTGGCTAAATGGTTAGCACTTCCGCCTGCCAGTACTAAGGTCGTTGGTTCAAATACCAGCCAAGGCACCTCCTGCCTGGAGTTTGCATGTTCTCCCTGTGCCTGCATGGGTTTTCTCTGGGTACTCTGGTTTTCTCCCACACTCCAAAGACATGTTGGTAGGTGAACTGGCTCCTGTCTAAATTGTCCCTAGTATGTGTATGTATGAATGTGAGTTAGGGACCTTAGATTGTACGCCCCTTGAGGGTTAGGGACTGATGTGAATGTACAATATACATGTAAAGCGCTGCGTAAATTGACGGCGCTATATAAGTACCTGAAATTAATAAAATAAATTCTGCATTGTGAGACAACCACTAAGCAGTTAACGAATTTATGTTAGTGTTTCTCAAGCTTTTTCCAGTCAAGGCACCCTGGAAAAAAGTATTTTCAATCTCAAGGCAACCCCAGTCAAAGGCTTGCAAGAAGCTGCTGGCTGACCAGGCAGAAGCTCACAGATCCAAGACAAAAGGAGGAAAGAACAAAGAGAGGACGCACAGGCCTAGTGCATTACCATAAAAAATGTTTCATAAAAAATAAAGTATGTGTTGTACTCACAAACGACAATATAGTCAAGGCACATCATAAAGAACAGCTGGGTCAAACACCGCGCTGAGTAACAGTCCGCAATAGGGAGTATAGACATCCAATAGGCTGACGCGTTTCGAGGACTTGCCTCTTCCTCAGAGCCCTGTTGACCCAGCTGTTCTTTATGATGTGCCTTGACTATATTGTCGTTTGTGAGTACAACACATACTTTATTTTTTATTAAACATTTTTATGGTAATACACTAGGCCTGTGCGCCCTCTGTTTGTTCTTTCCTCATTCAGTATATTTGGATTCCCCCGGTCTATTTGAGGGCAGCAAGGTGTACATGTTCCAGGACATTATTAATGTGGTTGTAGCCTGCATCGAGTCCATCCCCAAGCGCAGGAGCATTTGTGTTTGCTGGTTCCAAGACAAAAGGAGGCAAGGAAGCATTGTGCAGAGAGACTTCAGGCCAAGAAAGAGGAAATCATCAAGACACCCTCAAAGGAAGAAGAATTCCAGCAAAAAATAAAGCCCTGAATCAGTCTGTGTATATATAGAGTACTGCCCAATGCTCAATAAATTTCCTATCCCCTCCAAAAAAAAAAAATAAAAGGGCTTGCTTCACATTATTGCATTTAAAGGAATGTGCACAAAATCACATGCCTTCCCAAACATGCTGCTCTTTAGCAGATAAGCAGTGATGCCGTTAATTCTTAAAATTTACCCCCTTGCATTGTCAAAAGCAGTGCATTTTCAAAAAAGGATTGGGGACTTCCTTCTCTGCGTTTCTGCGGTAAAACCACAAGGTTGAGACATTTTTACCACCTGTTTAGCTGCAGAGGCATCAGTCAGGATCATACACATGTGGCAAGAAGTATACCCCCAGGTGAATGGGGCCATGGTGCAACCCCCACAGCAGCATACAGCACAGTGATGTTGCATTTAGGGGGTAAAACATGGTGAGGAGGAGACATATTGCCTCTTCATTGCCTGTCAAGTGCCTCTGAAAAGCGATCCAAGACAGCAAGCCATTTGTTTTTAAAGGCAGCTATGCTCCTCATTCCAATTTACAAAATTTGTAAGTCAGGAAGAACAAACAAATGTGCTATGCAGAGAATACCCCATATGGGGATGTAGGGGAAATGGGTGTCTGGAATTACATATGCAAGCCTATGTTGGTAAAAGGTAAAATAGAGCCGCTAAAGTACTGATTATCGTGTTTCGTGGAGAAAATCCTGCGCTAGTTACACGACCAAAAACTAGGCATTTGGGCCCAGTGGTCTGATAAAATGGAGGAAATGAATTCAGATTGGCTGCACTTTACCTATAGCAAAAAGCCTATGAACAAAGCCTTAGCTTCTGGTCACATTCTTGCTACAGGAAAGAGCCCAGAGAAGGGTTTTCTATGGAAAAGGTGAGTGTTTCCTCCATTCTTTTCCTATCTGTCAACACCAGCTAAACTGTTATTGTGGTTATAAGTTAACATTTGCATATAGGTTCACTTTAATGCAAACTCCGAGCCCAAGGAGCTAATACCTCTGGGACCTATAGGTAAGTCAAGTGTCTAACAGAGCACGCATACTTACCAAAACCATCAATGTCTAAGTTTTTCTCTACAACAAGGTCCAGGAGTGACTCTCCAACTTTCCCCTCAGCTACAATTGTGCTTCCATCACGATTTACAAACTTTACTGTGACCTTTCCTTCTGAGCTGCAGAAAAATAAAAGAAAGGTAAATCATTGCACCAAAAATTAAGAAACCAACAAATGTTTTGGGGATTAAAATATATTAGCTTAGCTTCTTATGACACAAGTTTATAAACACATATTCATAAGCAGAAATGATTCCAGCACACCTGTTACTACATTTACATTAGATGAACCACACCACTGTGACCAGGGTGTGCATAGGAAAACTATACAGATGGATGGTGTCATCCATGGCTGATGGCTGCAGTCCTTGTGGGCCACAGAGCCTCTAAATTATGCCAATCACACCAAAGTTTTAAAGTGTGCCTTCTGCCTTGGAAACGTTCTCAGATTCTGTTTAATTTGCCAAGGCCATAAAAGAGAATGTAGGCCAGTCATTTGTCAAACATTCTGGGAAAGACTAGTAGTAATAAGTTGTGGATGGAGGAATCCGTTGGCAGAGCGAAAAAAAAATGAACTATGTATGGCTAGCCTTTGGGTGCAACACAGTCACATTTTACAGCTTCCTACCCTCACATGGCCCCCACCACCTGGATTTTGAATTTTGGTACGGCTATGTGTGGCTCCGTAAAAAGCTGTGTCATCTATTGAATGACAGCATAAAAGCTTCAATATGATTGCTTGCTGTGGGGCATCACAGACATTTATTTTGGATACTTCATTGAACTGAGCATTTTTGCATCTGTATATGAATTCTTACAATATTTAAGAGTTAAGGGTGGAGGTACTGGACCTGAAGTTGAACTTATCAAAAGTTGATCATTTTAAGGGCTCATTCGAATGTTAACATGAGTACACAGATTAAGAAAAAAAAGAAAAGAAAAGAGAAAGAAAAGAGAAAAAAGGGGAAAAAAAAAAAAGAAAGAGAAAATAAGAACAAAGACAAAGAAAAGGGAAAAGAAGAAGAGAAGAAAAAGAGGAAAAAGAAAATGAAAAGAAAGAAGAAAAATAAAGAAGAAAGAAAAACTAAAACAAGAAGGAAAAAAGAAAAAGAAGAAAAAGAAAAAAAAAAAAGAGAAAAAGAAGAAAAGAAAAAGAAAGAAGAAAGAGTATAACTTAAGAAAAGAAATTAGCACAGAAAAAGAAAGTAAGAAAAAGGAGAAAAATCAAGAGAGAAAAAGAAAAGAGGGAAAAAGGAAAAAGAAGGAGAAAGGCAAAGAGAAGAAGAGGAGGAGAAGAGAAGAAAAAGATAAAGAAAAAAAAAAAAAAAGAAAAGGGGGGAAACAAAAAAAGAAAAGAGAAGAAGGAAGAAGAAAAAAAAAAAGAAAAGAAAAAGAAGAAAGGAGATGGGAAAAAAAGAAGACAAAAAATTGAAAAAAAAAAAAAAAAAGGAAAAAAGAAAGAAGAAAGGAGAAGGGAGGAAAAACGAAGATGAGGAAAAGAAAACAAAAAAAAAAAAGAAAAAAAATAGGAAAAGACAAAAAAAAAGCAAAAAAAGAAAAAAAAGTAGAAAGATTAAAAAAAAAAAGAAGAGAAGGGAAAAGGAAAGTTGGAAAGGAAAAAAAAAAGAGAAAAAAAAAGATAAAAAAAGGGGGGAAGGAGAAAGAGAGGAAAGAAGAAAAAAAGGGGAAAGAAGAAGGGGAAAAAGAAAAGAAGAGAAGAAAGCTGAAGGAGAAAAAAAGAAAAAGGGAAAAATAAAGAGAGTACTCAAACACCGAGAAGGAAAGAAGAAAAAAAAGAAAAAAAACAAGAGAAAAAGAAAAAAGGACAAAGAAGTAGAAAAAAGACAAAAAGAAAGAAAAAAAGAAAAGAGATAAAAAAAAAAAAAAAGAAGAAAGGGAAACAAAAGAGAAGGAAGAAGGAGACGGAGGAGAAGAACAAGAAAGAAGACCAAAAGAGGGATCAAAAAAAAAAAAGAAAGAAAAAAGAAAAAGAGGCAAAAAAGACAAAAAAAAAGGGAAAAGAAAAAAAAAGAAAAAGAAGAAAAAAAGAAAGAAGGGGAGGAGGAAGGGGGACAAGAAAAGAAGGGAAAAGAAGGGGGAAAAAGAAGAAGAATACCAAGGGAAAAAAAAAGAGAAAAAAGAAAAAAAGAGAAGAGAGTAAAGAAACTAAAAAAAGAAGGGAAAAAAAACAAGAAGAGAAGAAAAAGAAAAGAAAGGGTCTCTTGGAACCAAAAAACAAAAAGAGAAGAGAAGAAAAGAAGAAAAAACGGAAAAAGGGGAAAGAAAAAAAACGTTTTGAAAGAAAAAAAAAAAGAAAAAGAATCAAAGAAAAAGAGGGAGAAGCAAGAGGCCGAAAAAGAAAGGAAAAGAGTAAGAAAAAAGGGAAAAACAAGAGAAAAAAAGGTTAGGGAAGAAAAAAAAGGAAAAGAAAAAAAAGGGAAAGAAAGAAGGAAAGAAAAAGTTGCAGCAGAAACAAAAAGAAGGGTAAGAAGAAAGAAAAAACACTCTGGAAAGGAAGAAAGGGAACAGAAAGAAGGACAGAAAAAGGAAACAAGGAAACGGAGCGTAAAGGGGGGAGGAAGAAAAGAAAAAAGTATGGAAGAGGAAAAGAATTGGAAGGGTCAGATATAAAAAAAGGAGAAAAGAATAAAAACGAAAAAGGAATTGGGGAAGAAGGAAAAGAAGGAGGAAAAGGGGGGGGAGAAGGAAAGGGAACAGGAGGAAAGGAAAGGAAGGGAAGAAAAGGAAAAAAGTAAAACGCAGAAGAGGAGAAGAAGAAAAGAAGAAAAAAAGGGGGAAGAAAGAAATAAAAGGAAAAAAAGAGGAAAAGGAAAGACCAAAAAGAGAAAGAAAAGGAAGAAAAGAAAAAAGGAAGAGAAGGGGAAACAGGAGAAAAGGTTTTTAAAAGAAAAAAGGGGAAAAAAAAAAGAAAAAAAAAAAGCGGAGAAAACAAAAAAAAAAAGAAAGGAGGAAGGAAAAAGAAAAAAAAAAAGGGGAAAGAAAAGAGGAAAAAATAAAAAAGAGGAAAAAGGGAGAGAAAAAGAGAAGAAAAGAAAAAAGAAAAAGAAAGAAGAGGAAAAAGAGAGAAGACTTAAGGAAGAAATTTGAGGAGTGAAAAAAGAAAAAGAAGGGAGGAAAAAAAGAAAAAAAAAAAAAGAAGAACAAAAGAATAAGAGAAAGGAAAAAAAACAGAAAAGAGAAAAAAAAAGGAAAAGAAGAGAAACAAAAAAAAAAAGGGAAAAAAAAGAAAGACATCCGCAAAAGAAGAAGATCACAAAAAACAAATAAAGAAAAAGAGGAAGGAAAAGAAGACAACAAAGAAAAAAGGACGAGAAGAAGGAAGATAAAGAAGAAAAAAAAAAGAGAAAGGATGAAAAAGAAAGAAAGAAGAAAAAAAGGCAGAGGGGGGAAAAAAAGGGAAAAAAAGAAAAAAAGAAAAAAAAAAAAAAAGAGCGTAGAAAAAAGAACAAGAAAGGGAAAAAAAAAGAAGAAGAAAGCAGAGAGAAAAGAAAATAAAAGAGAAAGAAAAGAAAAAAAGAGAAAAGGGAAAGAGGAAGGGAAAGAAAAAAAAGAAAAGAGGGAAAAACGGGAAAGCAAAAGGGAAAAGAAAAAAAAAAAAGGATGAAGAAAGGGACAGAGAAGAAAAAAAGGAAAGGCGAAAAGAAAAAAGGAGAGAAAGAAACAAAAGAAATTAAAAGAAGAAAAGAAAAAAAAGAAAAAAAAACAAAAAAAAAGGGAAGAAAAAAGGACTAGAAGAAAGGGGACCGGAAAAGAAGAAACAGACAGGAGAAAAAGGTGAAAGAAAAGAAAAAGAAGGGAAAACAAGAAAAGAAAGAAAAAGAGAAAAAAAGAAAAAAAAAGAAAAAGAAGAAGAAAAGAAAAAAAGAAAAAGGAAAGAGTGAAAAAAGAAAAGAGAAGGGAGATTAAAAGAGAACGAAAAAAGAAAAAAAGAAATGAGAAGAGAAAAAAAAAGAAAAAAAAAAAGAAAAAAAAAAGGGAGAAAAAAAGAAAATAAAGGAAAAAAAAAAAATAAAGAAGGAAGAAGGGGAAAAAGAGGGAAAACAAGAAAAAAAGGAAGAAAAAAAGGGAGAAAAAGCAAAAAGGAAAAGAAAGAAGAGGGAGAAGAAAAGGGAAGGAGAGGAAAAGAGAAAAAAAAGAAAAGCAAAAAAGGAAAGAGAGAAAAAATGGAGAAGAGGAAAGAGGAAGAAAAAAAAGGAGAAAGAAGCCGAGAAAAGAAAAAAAAAGAACGGAAAAACAAGAAGAAGGAAAAAGAAAAGAGAAAAAGAAAAAAATGGAAAGAAACAGAAAAAAGAGAAAGAAAAGAAAGAGAAGAAAAAAAGAAACAGGGGAAAGAAAAAACCAAGAAAAAAAGAGGAAAAAAAAAACAAAAAGAAACGGGAAGAGGGGGAAAAGAAAGAAAAAAAGAATGAAAGTGGAAAAAAAAAAAGCAAAAGGAAAAAGGGGAGGAGAAGAGAAAAAGAAAAAAAGGAGGAAAAAAAAGAAAAGAACCAAGGAAAAGAAAAAAGAGGAGAGAAACTAGAGAAGAGAAAGAAAAAAAAGGAAAAGGAAAAGAAAGACAAGAGAAGCGAAGAAGAGAGAGAAAGAGAAGAGAGAGAAGGAAGACAAGAAAAGAGAGAAGTGGACAAGAGAAGAGAGAAAGGGACAAAGAGCGAGAGAAAGGGGAAGAAGAAAAAGAGGAGAGAAAGAAAGGGGACAAGAGAAGAGAGAGAAGGGGGAAAGAAGGGGAAGAAAAGGACAAGAAAAGGGGAAAGGGGGACAAGAAAAGGAAGACAAGAGGGAAAGGGGACAAAGAAGGGGGAAAGAAGAAGAGAGAGAAGGGGAAAGAAAGAGGGAAAAGAGAAGAAAAAAAAGAAGGGACAAACAAAGAAAGGAGAAGGGGACAAGAGAGCAGAGGGGAGAAGGGGACAAGAAAAGAGGGAGAAGAAGGGACAAGAGAGAGAGGGAGAAGGGGACAAGAGAAGAGGGAGAAGGGGACAAGAGAAGAGAGAGAGAAGGGGACAAGAGAAAAGAGAAGAGAAGGGGGGACAAGAGAAGAGGGAGAAGGGACAAGAGAAGAGAGAGAGGGACAGAGAAGAGTAAGAAGAAGGGGAAAAGAGAA